ACTATCACCTTTTCCGCTCTATATTAAACCCAATGAGGGGTGTTACCTTCGATGGTGATGGGGACCTTAAAAACTGGCTCAACAAATTCTTCGACACCACAACGGCCGATTTTCGGCGAATCGCCATCAACAAATTGGTCGAGAGATGGGAAGAGGTCGTGAACAGTAACGGAGGATACATCATTGGTTAATTTATTATTATAATTATTGTTTTTTGGTTCAGATAAATCTTTGTGAAAAAACTCTACGAACTTATGTTACAACCCAATATTTTCGGGCATCGATCGATGACCGACGCTGAAGTCGACGGAAAACGCTGGTAGTATGGAAGCACTCAGCAGTTTTCGCGTAATATCGGAAGAAGTTTCAGCAGCAGAATATTCCAAGGTTCCACCTAGCATAGGGGATGTTTCATCGGAACATGACTGAGTCAATTTCGAATTTCGAAAGCTCTAAGGTACTTCTTACAATTCAGGGGCTCCTTTAAGACCTTGATATTAGGAAAAATGTACAATGTCAGGGGAACACAGACTCACCTTTTCGAATACCTCCTTCTCACCCGATCTTCTTTCGGCAAATTCATCGAGAGTAGTCGCCTCAATAGGTGAATTGAATACATTTATCATTTCTCCAGTTCAGAAGTTAGTTTAGCCAATCTATCGCTCATCGAATAGGTTTTGCCTAGAAAACGTTGTTTTGTTGTTATTAGAAGCTCTAGTAAACGGATTTGTACCATAGAACGGTAAAATTGGTTACGGTACGAAAATAGAGCATGAAAATTCTGAAAGAAATCATCTTGGCTCGATAAATACTAAGCTCGATTCGAAAATGATAGAGAATAGTGAAGAATTAAAGAATAGAAACTTGGTATTGATAGATTTTGTCATCTGGACTCGCCACGCATGTGATCTTTTTTGGAGAAAATTTTGGTATTCTGGTTTGTACTGGTACCAGCAGCATTTGAAGGCAAAGTTCAAGTAAAGAAGTCACCAGGGAGGTTTCTCCCTGGTGACTTCTAAACATAGCTCAAGGAACGCTGTCGGATTGAAAAACCGGCTTAGATGGGGAGCAATAAAAGGCCTCCAAGACTGGCTCAGCCGACGTACAACCTCAAGGCGAAAAAATTCTCACGGCTTGGTAAAAGCTGTAGAGGTTGCACCGTTCGCACTGGGACCCACACGTTGCAAGCAGGCAACCCACTGTAGCCAGCCGTCTGCAATGGCGCGCACATTTGAACAGCTCGTCCAAT